TATTTCGCTGTGGCTTTTGATGTGAAATAATCTGAAGCGCAGCTAAAAGATAGAGCGAAGTCAGGGCTACAAAATGGCTAATTCAATTTTTCTTACTTCGAAAACATTAACACAAGAAATAATTTTCGAGTTTTGAAAGTTTACATTTTTTTCGACTTTCATCTAATTGGCTTAGTTTTCTTGATTGAAGTTCTGAAATTATAGTTTAGGTACGATTTTGTAGAGTATTGAATGGCGAATCTTTTTAAAAAAATTTGGCTGATAGCGTCAAAACTGACTGACTTATAGCGAAAACAAAGTAGTGTAATTCTTTATGGCCCACCCGTTATAAACATTTACTGTTAGTAGTAAAATAACACACATACACTCACAGACAGATAAAAAGAGATTTTTAGCTAAATTTGCTTCTAATAGAAAGATATCAATATCAAAATTTATATCTGAATTTACTAGCTTAGCGAACAGAATTGCTCGAACTTGATTATACTTTAAACATTCCAAGAAATAGTGTTTAGGATGTTTAATTGTCTTTATTGGTGGAGACAGCGGAAAATAACTCTCACAGGAATTTTCACAAACCAATTTATGTTGCGTGAGATGAAAATTGCGAGCAGTGAAGTCTACTTTTAAACGACAAAATAATAGTGTTTCCGTTTTCCAACACAATATACAAGGTAATTCATTTGAAAGAGGAAGTAAAATGCTTTTAACTTTCCACGAACGTTAACTATCGATATACTCTGTAATTGTCAGTGGAGCGAACAACAGTATAGTAGCGATGTATTATTACGGCAGGATCATCAGATACAATCGTGCAATAAAACTAATAGTTCTGCTCTCACTGGTTTTGTCTAATATTTAGTTGGAACCGTTTTGAAATGAGATCTAATCATAAACTAACAGATGAATGAAAAAATGACGATTGAAAAACTAAACTTTTATCTATAATCATATAATTCGGACTCATCATCTCGTCTTAGTTTATACCTTGTTTCCTTCGCCTCTAGATATCTGACATGTAGACTTTTACTTAACCTCACTTAACAGAAAATACACATTCTATGATATAGAATAGCTGAAAGAAAGATAGCCAAATAAGAGATGCTACATTCAGAGGTGCATAATCTTCCTCGTGCGCACCCGCGCGGGTGGGGAAATTTTTTGGAAAGTTGTTCTACTGGGGGAAATTTAAGATACAACAGCCTGAAATTTCTGGAAAAAATTTTCGTAGGTGGGGAAATTTTTTATTTTTTGGAAGATTCTGCACCTCTGGCTACATTTTACTTTTACTCGACGATCAGCATAGTTAGAATTCGTGTTGTTCGATACTTTTCCAAAATTACATGTTCATTTGCCCAAAAGAAGGTATCTATTTTCACAAGTTGAACAATAGATTGACTAGATTGTGTGAATTGATTTTTGCGAGCACATATTTCAATTTTAATAGGATAAAACAATTTAATAAATTTTAAAATAAACAGTCAAAACAATAAAAATTCTCTAAAACAGAATTATACCTATAAACGAACACATGCAAAAACTACACTTATTTGACAGTAACCAAAACCAATGAAAAAGACATTTACAATCAAAAAATATACTCAAAATAAAAAAATAATAACAACATATCTCTTAGATTCATCTCAAATTCATTCATCTAATTGACTGGATCAAGTCGCTGTTGAAACAGCAAGTTTTTTTAAATGTTCCATAAATGTTTGTAAATTCAGATCGTCTGTCAATATTGGGGCACCCAGACCCTACAAAAAACAAAGAAAAGTTGGTTGTAAACGAATTCACTGAAGAATAAAGTGAAAAGACGTTACCTGTCCCCATTCAGTAGTGTGTGTTTGAGATGGATTTACTTTGCATAATAAAAATCGAGCCTAAAACAAAAATATGACTTGTATAAAGTAAACTTTTGAGATCTTGGATAATTGAATGATTAAAATAATTATCTATTAATAATGACTAACGATGGAACCGCCCCAATATCTTGCGAGTCACGACTCCGTATTGTTAGTGGAAGTAGATCTCAATGAGACTGAGAAAAGCCCAAAAGTGTTCGTGCCTACGGCCTTTCGTTTTCGAGATATAATCGACTTTAAGTCGAAAAAATGTGATTTTTTTCCATTTTTTCAGAAACTTTTTTCTCAAATAGCCTGACCAGTGATCTACTTGCTCCAAGTATTTCAATTGAATCGCTCGTGTACAACTCAAACTATTTATTATTTTTCATTGACACCTGTTGTAAGAATGCATGTGTATAGGAAAGAAAATGTAGAGAATGCGTTTGTCAATGAAAAATAATAAATATCTTGCGTTATACGCAAGCGATCCAGTTGAAATTTTTGAAGGAAGTAGATTAGTAGTAAGGCTGTTTGAGAATGAAAGTTCTAAAACCGTGAAAAAAAGCGCATTTTTTTCGACATCAAGTCGATTATATCTCGAAAACGAAAGACCACAGGCACGAACAATTTTAGGCTTTTCTTAGTCTCATCGAGGTCTATTTCCACTAACAATACGGAGTCGTCACTCGCGAAACAGTTGAGACGGTTCCCTCGTAAGAATGATTTACTAAAACTTTTTATAATTCTTGTCATTTAATATTCGCAATTATATACCTGAGAGCCACCTGCTTCAGTGACAATATAACGTGGCATTGGAAATCTATTTTGTAAAATTTCTATGGCATCTTCAACTGGAGCTTGTAATAATTGTTTAAAATTCTCATATTCTGGTAAATCTTGATAACCGGCTTTAGACCATTGTGAAATTGTTTTACCATGAAAAATCAATATGTGATAGAATGTGTCCATTAGTAAAATTCGATCTGGCAATATACTACTACTATCCAAAAGAACAGCCTAGAAATTTATTAAAAAGAATTTTAGATATAATTGTTCAATCTCGGTGTAAAAGTCCTTATTACTTCTGGTGAGCCATTGAATGAGTAAGCATATAATATTGGCTGAATCATCACTAGACATTGTGTGAGATCTTCGACAAGTAGATAATGTCTAAGATAAATCAGAATGATTATACTTCATGATGAATATAATAGTGTAAGTATTAACCTGTAAAATGCCGTTTCATCGGGACTGTTATTGAATACTTGTAGGAATTGTGAACGTCGAAGATGATACATAAATTGTGGATACAATGTAAATGTTTCTGTTAGTTGAAATGAACCAGGATTGTCTTTTTCATAGAGGGCAAATGTTTGACACTTAACAACAATAAAAATATCAACAATGATGAACTATAAAATTGATTTACATACAAGTTTTATTAACATTTTATCCAACCATCTGAGAACATGTGATCCTTCTTCTGTATCGGCACGATAAACAGCGATTCTAGCTATCGATACACTTGCACATTCCTGATCAAATGATGCAGCTATTAATGGCATACTCGACGATGCATCAATCCAACTAAAAAGAAACGAATACAATAAACTATATAATACTCATGCAACTCTTCCTTACTTTCGTGCCAATGTTGTTACACGAACTTTTTTAAACCCTGATAGATGCTGGTATTGAGTTATAAATTGAACGTAACCACGATTACCAGTTTCTCCAGGCTGTGTTTGACCCTGCTGAAAATAGAAAAAAATTAAAAGATTCAAGATGGTTGTAAAGATCTATGGCTGTACGAACCTGGTTAAGAACTTCAAAAAATATTGATATTGTTGAATTCGGATAAATGGCACACATTTTCCATGCATTTGTTCCACCCATACCTATAATGCAGAACATATAGAAAAGATCATTATCGTAAAATTATCCGTTTTTTCGAAGATGTTAATAAGAAAGACAAACATTTTTACCTAATTCATTTTCTGCTACATTAGGTGCTCGTTGAGTCAACGATACGCACGAACCAATAGCACCACATACTTTCAATTCTCGACTTGTCTAAAGAGCGAAACACAAATAAATGATATTTTCGTTAAGTTATCGATATTGTGTGATAGTTTTTACTTTCACTTCTACAGTGGCTCCAAAATTCATTCTGTATTCATTTCTTGCATCTCTGGCGAATACTTTTTGCAATGATTGTTTGAACAAAGATGTATTGAATGAATCGCTCAAGACTATATGACCTCTGAAAACGGAAAAAATAATTGATCAGACAATTGAAATAGCAATCGTCGCAGATTATCGTTGCGAGTGATGATGTCGACAATAATTAATGCAACATTGGAAGTTGAGATAAACTTAACTTGAGACAAGTTTAAAAATTCTCTGGAAGACGCAGTAGAGAATCAGTATACATACCCTGTATAATTTGAACAATACTTCATTTCATGCAGTCCAGTCTGATCTAAAGCGGATGAATATAAATCAATAACATGGCCATTTACAGCGGATCGATTTGCTAGACTTTCATAAAACTAGGTAAACAATGCAATCGAATTACACCATTAAAGAAAAACAAATATATTTTTTTCTAATTACTTTGATTGCTTTCTTCATATATGGGGCATTATCTTTTTCAATATCATGATGAGAACGTATTGTATGTTCTAATTCTTCATCAATCACCATACCGGGTCCTTGTGTGCATGGCCCACCAATAAACAACATAATACGAGCACCAGTATTTGGATACAATGTCTGAACACAAAAGAAGATGACGTAGTAAAGGGGCATATACAGGTACACTTTCAGTCTTACTTCTAATAACCCGACAGCTACCGATAAAGCAGTACCCGTAGACCGTAGTGGACGGTGACCTAGTTGTACGGGCCATGGATCTCGTTGCAATTCACCTAGTAAATCGGTCAATGACATATCACATGTTGACACTGGTTGAATGAATCTGTAATACAAGACGACGAACGACAAATGTGGTCTTATGAAGATCATATATGGTGAATTACTTGCTAAAAGATGTAACTGCTTGAGGAGCATTTGTATTTCCAACTGCCGGTCTTTGTGTTGGTTGATGTTTCATTAATCCGAGCATATCCTGAAACAGAAATATTAGCTATAATAGCAACGCTACGACTGACAGCAGATCAATAAAAAATCTCTAAACAGAATTGTAACACATCTTTACTAACCTGAATTTCTTTGACTGTTAAGGCTTTTGTACCACGAAATACATAACTTCTTGTCAATCCATCACAATTTAATTCATGAACATGCACCATACGTCCGAATGTGATGAGACCGACAAGCGCATCTATTGGTAACAGATTTAACGCCATTTGTAATGATTCCTAAAACTAACTAACTAAATAAATGAATAAATAGTAAGAAAATTCGTTGATTACCTTTAAAGCTGTCATATTCTCTTCGTTCATACATGTATCAACAACAAACAAAAAAACAGCAGGCTGAGTCGGTGAGCGCTAGAGCAATAAATACATATAACGATAAAATAGGAGCTCTTAAAGTTTAGCAAAAGAAGACTTTACCGCTAACGTATATTCAATAGTTGTAAATTGTGGTGCTAATTCGGCTGGTTGGAATTGCTCGGATATTCCAGCATATTGTGGAGGAAAATTATTACGTTGAGAACAAAAATTACATGTCCATGTTTTTGCTCGATAATCAACAGCACAAAATGTATTCAGTATCGCACGACAAGAACTTTTTGTACATATCACAGGATCATATTGAATTAATGGCAAATCACTACGTTCTTTGAGAGGTGTAAATAAACAACCTAATGGAACAACAAGACGTGTTGCGTCTAAACGACTAGATGGCCAAACATTCCATGTGAAACGAACACCGTCTCTCTCTTCATTCTGAAGAATGAATTCTTGATAAGTTAACATGCAATGGTACTGATCTAAAAAATAGAACAGCAAACTATACAATAGAGAAGATTACAAAGTTGAATTTATGAAATTATGCTAAACTTACGAATCACGAAGATACATAAGTATCTGACAAGTTATGACTATGTGAAACTATTAGAATAAAAAGATCACAAAACCTAAACAATGTTCTATCTTACATCTGGATCAAAATGACTTTATCTGATCTGTTTCGTGGGAAGTTTTCTGAGAGTCAAACAATCATTGTGAAGATGTCTTTGTAATGTAAACAGGAATTCTTCTTACTGTAACTGTTCACCCTTTTCGACAGCGGTGATGAAAGAAGGGTAAAGCGAAGCAAAAATCCTAAACTCACTACCAGTCATTTATAAAAAAAAAGCCTTACGACTTAATCACAGACCTACGTCAAACTTTTCGAACTTTATATTAAGGGAGAAGAGCATATTAAGTGCAATAAAATATTCCACGTTGATGCCAACGTAATATGGTCCACGTTGATGCCAACGTAATATGGTTGCGTCAAGCGAAAATCAAACGTGAATGTTTGAAAACGTGGCTCACAGTTCTTCTCTGGAAACTGATTAGAATCTGAATGAGCTAATCTCTTTATTAAACTCGATCTCTTTCTTCATGTTGCGCTATCTATCGTAAAGGATGCTAGTGGTTTTCCTCAACCAATTAAAATACACATGTAATCTATACAACAATATCAGAACGTGCAATATAATTATTCCCTTTCGTTAAACTTAGTCATTACATCCTAGTTTTTTTCAGTTTTGATAACGTGAGTTCATACTCTAAGTTAGTGTTCTAAATTAGTAAACATGGAAAAGAAACTTTTGCGATGATGGTTTTTTTCACTATTTCAAATCAATGTTACAGTTAGAATTTTGCAATTTAATTAAAATTTATTTTAAAATCAGATTTGCAGTTCGAAACACAGTAATATCTGATAATTTATTAACGGATTGACAACTGTTTTTCAGTTAGTAGAAAGTGTGTACAGCAGATAACATTAAAATACCAAGTTCTTTTAAATGCAAAGGTAATTTTTGCAGGTAGTATTCGTATGATACTCAAAGTAAATCATGCTTTTTTTTCTTAAGCAATATGCTTTACCATTCATTTTGCAAAGTGTAAACAAAGTCTTGCTACTACTTGTTTTTCAGTTTTTAGACAGCAAAGAAAAGAGTATGTCAATTGGTCGACATTCCGTCTCACTCTGTTGCTTTTTGTTAGTCCGACTAATTAGTGATTTATAAAATCTTAAGTAGATTTTCTTTTTTTTGTAGATTTAATAATAGCTGACTATGTCTACTAACAATTTATTTAGTGATCACAACAACGACCATAAAAATCGTATGAAGAAGAATAACAAAAAAAGCACCAGTGATAGCGATAGTGATTCAGATTCAAATTCATCCGATTCCGACGGAAGTGAATATGAAGTAGAAAAGATACTTGATAAACGAAGACGTCATGGAAAATTAGAATATTTCTTAAAATGGGTAGGCTATGACGATAGTGAAAATAAATGGATAAGAGCAGAAGATTTGAATTGCCCAAATCTAATTGCTAAATTTGAAGCTGAAAAAGAGCAGAAACGACGTGATAATTATGCACAACGGATAGGGAAAAGAAAATCAAACCCTCCGTCCGCAAGTAAACGTCCATCAAAGAAGCAAAAGATAAAAACAGTTGAGAATAACTTCGAGGAAGAAGAACAGTCAAATTCAAACATTAGCACATCAGTATCATTGACAACAACAGTAAAAGCAGCAAAATCATCCAAAAATACGACTAAAAAGTCGAGTAAAACAGAAGAGCAAGTACAAGAACAGTCATCGTCAGATATTCAAACAGATCAACATCGTTATGGTGTTGAGAAGGGCTATGAAGTTCAATCTGTATTAGGCGTGAACAGACAAGAAAAAAAGTTAAACTATGTCGTTCATTACATGCCTAATACACCAATTGAAGATAAAATGGAATTGTTACCATCGCATGTTGCAAGTAAATATTGTCCCGAACAGCTTATTCGATTTTTTCAAACACGTATTCGTTGGAAAAATCATCCATAAGTACATAGTATTATTTTTATGTGTTATTAAACGGTGATCTTTTTCGCATTTTATTTTCTTTCTCTGCGTGTGTATGTATATGGTATAAAATTGTTGTTCAGATATCTATTCTCATGGACTAATTAACAAAAGTCTCATTCTTTTCTCTTTCACAAACTTTTGACTAGAGAAAACGCTATTGATCTGATATTATTCTATTTTTGTTAATCTATAAAATATTATACAAATACATATATAGCAGAGAAAAATGTACGCTTATTTATTTTTGTTGCTGTTGTGCTCGCTTTTGTTCTGTTATTGTAGTTATTTCTAATTTATTTTTTTAAAGAAATTAATAAACAGTAAGATGTCTTTGGAGATTAAGAAAAAAGATATTTATTCATTAATTAATGTTTCGGAAAAAGATATTTTCAATTAGTATTCGAGTCTCTTCTTCAACAATGAGTCTATACGATTATTAAACTCGAATATTGAACTGAATTGAATACACGTCAACAGACAAACTTACTCAAACTAAAGTTAGTATTTCAACTGCCTTCTTTTCTTGAAACTGTTAGTTTATTGTACGACTGTATCTGATGGGCTCCTGTTGTTATAATTTCTTTTTTAATATTGAATTTATTGTTCTCGAAGATTAACAATTAACATCTACTTGAGTTCATTGACAGGGAAAAAATAAAAAGTGGCAAAAAATAGAACTATAATCACTTCTTTCAGTTGAAGCAAACAACCACAACAGTTACGTTGCATACCTTATACAGAAATCAACTGAATAATAAACCGTTGTATGGAGAGAGAGAGAGAACAGAAAACTTTAAGATACATGGGAGAAAGAGCGTAACAAAAACAGTTGAATAGCCAACAAAAAAACATTCTTTGTTTACATTTTTTGTTTTTCCTATTTCTTTTGTGCATACAGATTTTTAATCTAATATTACACAACATTTTTTAAGAAGGATACACAGGAAAATACTTTAACGTGAAGTATTCAAGAAGAGAAAAAGTTTTCTTGAATATACCGAACTGTTTTTTGTATACATCCCTGAACGTGAGTACATCTAATTACGTATGATGAGCTCTCTTCGCGAGTCTGATTGGAAATACGCTGTTTTTTCGAAAGTCCATGCGTTTGTAATAAGTTTTAGAAAGTGATCTAGCGATGAGGAATGCTGTCCAGATTTGCTGGTAAGAAACGGCCTCTGCAGACTAAGTGTTTTGAAAATTTTATCCAATACGTGTAGAGATAATCTCGTAGAGAGAATTCTCTACTCACAGCTAAAGTTGCAAGATCATCATACCTCCATAAGGCGTACACCAACCTTAGACCTGTCCCATAAACATGTTGGATTCTTACGCGCTATTTTTCAGTGTAGTAAAACCAAGTAAAGAAAAGCCAGATGAAGTGAGGCAGTGAACATGCGCAAAATAAGTTTCTTCTAATTTTTACTTCATTTTTTGGTATGGAAAATTTTCCGTAAAATGCATTAGGAGTTTCTAACCATTTTCAGACGGTAGTCAATATGTCTACCCCATTCAAGTTTAGTATCTATCTTGAATCCTAAGCATTTAAAATGAAGTGACGTATTCTATTAGTGCAATTTATACTTAATCTCTGGCTTTCTAATGGCAATTGCGCTATGTACTAGTATCGCTTTAGGTTTAGGAGTATTTACTGGTAAAATGTGATCCTGTGAAAACTTTTCTAAGAATTTCAGGACAGCCTTCTCCTGAAATTCTAAGTATTTTATATTATCAAATAATCTTTTTTCAAGCGCACCTTTTAATAAGAGTGTTAAATCATCTGCATACAGATGTGATAAGATTTGAGGAAAGTAAGATGGCAGAAAATGGATGTGCAGTCTAAATAGTACAGCTGATAAGACGGTTCCTTGAGGGGCTCTTACGAAGATCTGAAATATTCTCGATTCTGCATTTCCATGGTTTATGCACATCGATCTATTTTGTAATCAGTTATAAATCCATTTTCTAAAATCGTCCGCGATTCCTAATTTTTCTAAAGTACTCATTAAGACAGGGTACCACATTTTGTCAAAAGCCGTCTGAAAAGCAACAAAAATTGCTAGAGTCGATCTGTTACATACTGCTATAGTTAACCGAGGATCTTCTGCAATAGCTAAAATTCGCATTTAGAGGTTACTTTGTAAATCATGATTGTTCGTCTATCTGGATTCCCTGATCATTGCACCATTTCTCAATTCTCTCTATTATTCTCTCAAACCACTTTCCTAAATTTGGTAATAATGAAATAGAGCGGAGACGATCTTCTGTCGGATACATACCATCTTTCGAAAGGCGAATTCCTCTGACTTGCTTCGCTTTCTCAAAAAATGTTCCTGCCTTTGCGCATTTATTAAAAAGTACAGTGATAGTGTTTAAGTATTATAGGAGTAAATTCTTAAGAAGAAAAGCTGATGTGTTAGTACTGTCTGGGGACTTTTTTGCGTGTTATTTTATATTAATTATATATGTTGTTTGATTTTTATCAACATTGTGTCAGATTATGTTAATTTATGGTTTGTAAAATAAGATCTTCATATATCTAGCATTGTCTTCACTTAATTAAGGACTTAATAATAATTAATTTATTATATTCTGAACCATCTGTAATAGTAATATGAAAATCTATAATTAATTTTTCGGCATTGCTAAATTCTATGGTTTTTTTGCTGATTTTGATAGTTTGTTATAGTCAAAAGAATATGCTTGCAAATACTATCAAGTTTTCTTTTTTACGTATGGTTCGACTATATTTATGTCAGGCAGTACTCGTATACGAGCAAACATCTTCAAGTGTAAGTGTCACTTTGAGATTTTGACGAAACATATCGTCTGTAGTAAAGTAAACTGTGCTGATCATGAATAGAATGTTTTTATATACTACCGTTGGACGGTTGATGAGTTAGAGCAATTTTGATTTTTTTGGTCGAAAGATAGGTTCTAGACTTTCAAGTAAGATCTCTAGGACTAATCTAACGATAATCATTCATTTTCTTTTAATAATAGTGATACCTTATGTTTAGAAACAGATTGGAAAAGAATCATCTCAGCTGTGGAAGAGATCGTGAAACGAAGTAAAAAATTTAAGAGTATTTGGATGAACATTATCATACACATCCTTATTAAAGAGCATGTTTTCTCGGACGGTGACACCGTTCTATACCTTTTTCTTTCTTTGTTTATTTTCTATCAGTCCGATTTATCACTGTATACTATAATAATTTTTCTTTTTCTTGTTGTTTTGTTTTCTGACGATGGTGAGTGCATTCACCAAAAGCTAAAGAAGTTCAAAGATGGATTCTTATAAAATCTAAAAATATTTTTTGTAGAAGTATTACACACTTTAATCCAAAATGTCATCCGCTTGAAAATTTTAGTAATGATAGTTTTCAATGCCTTTTACATACTGGTGTCCTCCAACAATCAAATCACTAATAAAAACAATATTATTTACGAGAAACTTCTAAAAATAAATTGAGACTTGGGAGAGGTGTAGTTTTTCCATTCCGATCGTGGAATAGATTTTTGATGAGAATAATCTAGGGGACTATTTTGGTCAGTCCAGACAGACATTTGGCGTAGCACACCGCTTGGCGAGTATATTGGCGTGTATATATACATATGGGTGAAACGTATAGCCATTGTACCGTCCTTGTCCCAATCGGAAAAAATAAATAATTTTTTTGTATTGCATGGACTCTCTTAAAAATCTTTCAGTTTTGAAGTTCTAATTCTTGCCCACACCTAGTAAATAAACGAGCTTTTTATCGTGATTCGTTTGCGAGATATCATAACTGCATTGCCGGTAGTCATTGTTTCCTGCGCCATTTGTTGCCAAAAAAATTGACTTTTGTAATGGATGCAACGTACTGTGAAACTAATTACTCTGAAGAATATATTGCAAAACCATTCTGCTTTGAATGTTTATAACTGAATAAATGATTTATCTCCATTTTCTTAGGGAATTTACGTAATCAACAGTACTACAGACAAGATGGCTTTTTTTTGTCCCGCTACCAACCCCTATCGCTAACTCTGGTATTATTTGATGTAAACTGTATCTAATTTAAAGAATCAATAGAAGAGTAGAAGGCACATCTTTTGGTAAAAAGAAGAAAATTTTGAACCACTTTCTTGACGGAGGAAATTGCTTATCACTTTCAGAAAACATTATCTTCACACTAAATGTCCGGTCACTTTTTCGATTTTATTTTTGCAATATTTATTGAAACTGTTGATCGTTTGACTTCAAACGTTTACCCTTTTATTCTTTTGTGGTTTTGATCATGTGGTGAAAATTTAAACGTGATATCTCTTGTCGCTTCTGAGAAAACTGTATTTTACTGCGAAAATGTCCCGTCACCTTGTAATAGCAATAACTCCGTGAAAACCTCAAAGAATCTTTACTTATCATACATCATTCGATTCGTCTTTGGAAGGCAAATCGTTGTATGAAGATTGCAAAATTTTCTCGTTAAGTGAGTCGCTAATTTTTAGGAAAACTTTGTCTTTTATCGTCAAACACTATTTTTCAAAATACATATTCATACGTCCTACCCATACAAGTATATATGCGATATGTTAGCATAGTTTCAGAATTGAAAGATTCGAGAATTCCAGGATTCTAGGATCCCACAGTTGTAGGATTCGACAATTTCAGGATTCGTGGATTTCAGGACTCAACAATTATAGGATTCGAGAACTGAAGGATTCGAGTATCATGTTCTCGAAGAGAAAGCCGGCTAAAACATGATGAAAACAGATTCACAGCCTTCTTAGAAAAGTTCTTTAGAGACGTCCAGTGCACACTCAAGTAGACATCTAGTGAAAAGTTGAAATTGCCATCCTTCAAGTTTTATTGCCGGATCATTAAGTTAGATATCTTGGCTACCTTTATTCACTAGAATAACACTCTCTCTCTCGAAAAACGGCTGCATATTTTTTTCTCTAAAACCAATATCGATAACGACTCGTAACTCTTT